TGATAACACACCCCGGTTAACATTCCCTGCTTACTCTCCCCCGGCTTAGGCAGAAGCCATTGCGGTGAAAGGGGAATAGGATTCTCAGAACCTTGTCCACCTGTGTACACCAGAAATAAACACAATTTAGAATTATGTGAAAATTATCAAACAAATCCAACTAGAATCACAGTTATTCGATGAAGCACCATTATTTCGGAAAAAAAAGGGGGGGAACCTAAACCACCAAAACAGGATCGAATTTAAAACATCATAACATTACTTATCCACATCAATCAAAATATGAACTGAGAAAAGACTTTTGTCAAAACTTGAACTTTGATAAAGTTTATGATGCAAAATACTACTACAACTGTCGAGCATGGAAATTCTTATGGTGAACCAAATTACGATATTCCTGGAGCATCATCATTAAATTCATAATATTATTTCTTCCAACCAATAAACGGGAAAATGTAAAATTAATTGCATTTACCAAGATTAATCAAAACCCTAGGCACAAAATATTTATCAAAACCCTAACTAAGGAATATTTATCAAAACCCTAAAATCAGCCATGTAAAACAACAGCGATTATACGAACGACAAAGAAAACGATAAATGTGCGAACTTTATCAGAACCACCGCAAAAGTCTAGGGTTTTGGTAGAAAAACGGGGGGTGGAGGCGGAATGCGAAAATCGAAGACGGCAAAGGAGGTCGATGGAGAAAATACCTTTGGAGATCTGGGGCGTAGTGGTGACGGAGAGCTGGTTGCGGGAGGCGGAGCTGGAAAGGTCGGCCATGGATGATCAGTTGAAGTTGCAGAGAGCGAGCGAGCCAAAGAAACCCTTTTGCGCTTTGAGAGTGAGGTAAGACGGGGAGAGAAGGCGAAGGGTTGGAAATAAGGGCAACAAAAAAGACGGGAGATGAATGTGACAGAGGTAATTTAGGGATATTGCCCAACCGGCTCACGTTAGCAAAGCATCGATTTGTAGTACCACACATCACCCTACCAACACTTTTTAACCTTTTCAGATATTATCCACAAATGTCTGAGTAAATCAACCGTTTTTATAAACACAACAAGTATGAAAATGTAAAAACGTCTGAGCAGATCAACCTAAAAACATTGTCGATACAATGAAGCCAACAGGATCCTCTCCGGGTTATTTTGGTGAGAATCATAGGAATTTGTAAATTGTGTTTGTTTATCATATATCGTACAATTAGTTTTTATTAAGTATTGTTTGTATTTATTTTTAAATAAAAATATTTAAAATAGTTTCTGATCCACGATGTACAATGAACAGACACAATTCACAAAATCCTATGATCCTCACTAAAAAGATCTGGCAAGGATCCAGACTCACAATGAAGAAGATGTAAAAAGAAGAAACACAAGTACAAAAGTAAGATTCCAACTAAACTATGTGAACAACAATTTTTTTTGGGGGGGGGGGGGGGGGCCGGGCCGGGCCGGGCGCGGGGGGATTAGTAAGTAGAGATGAATTTCACGTCCGTATGCTACACTATTTTTTTTGAGTTCGATTTTTTCTACTGATAAATTACACAATGGTTGACAAATAAAACTGAAATACTTATGTGAAACTTCTTAACCTCCAAAATGATATTTTCATTATCATATACAATGAGTGCGTGCAACGTACTGTGTCGTAAGGGATGCATGTTAATAAAACGTTGAACAATTTTAGTTTCGAATCTTTAGGCACTTGAGTTGCAAAAGATATAATACTAATCAGATTGTGGTATAAGTTGTATGTCAAAGTAGTGAAGTGGTTGGAGTGTAAAGCTCGATCCTTACCAACCAAGCGAGATGTCAAAAAGTTACTGATTATTAATTTAGTGATACTTTTTTTCTCGATTCAATTTCTTGCCTTCTTATTTATGAAATTGTATTGTTAAGGGCTTTCTTTTCACAAGTTTTTTTTATCTTTAAAAAATAATCTGTTGGTGATTTCATCACGGTAGACTACTATTTCGGGAGCCAGAAACGCTCATAGAAATATTTCAAAAGCTTTAATTTGGTAAATCTTTTCAAAAGCTATCATACTTATGCCTGGTTTGGTACTGAGGTGATTGTGAAAAAGGCTGGTATAAAAAAAAGGTGGGAGTTTTTTTGTGTTTGGTAAACATTTAGCTTCAGTTTTTTTTTTCACAGTTTTGGGTGGAAAAAAACAAAAAACAAGAAGCTGCAAAACCCATATTTGAAAAACCAACTTTTTCACATTTATTTTACATAAAAGTTTACCAAACACTATAATACTGTTTTTTTTTTCAAAAGCATTTTTACAAAAAAGTTTACCAAACACTCTACAGCTTTATTTCATAGCCGCTTATTCTCACAGCACAGCAAAAGCAGCTTTTTTTTCAAAGCACAGCAATACCAAACTAGCTCTTAGGATTCTTAAGAAAAGCTTATTACCAAGATGAAAAAATCTCAGTGACCATAAATCAATAAATAAACTTGATCGCTTCCAGACCAACTTGGGCTGGGCTTTTAAGTGAATTAAAACTGACTGGGCTGTTGATCTTTCTTTCCAGACTATTGGGCTGAGATTCCTTTACATTTTAAAAGATCAGCCGAAAAGAAGCCCTAAGATTCAGTAGTGATGAATTGCTTCCGAAAAAAAAGCATTTTGATATAAGCTCGTTTTTTAATTTTTAAGACTAAGCATACATTATTTTTGAAAATTTGATCAAACATTTTCCTAAAATTTTGGTTCTTAATTTCAGTTCCTATTATCCCTATATTATTGCATTTATTAGGGAAAATTAGAATGCCCTACATATTTTCTATAGTTGTTAGATTAAACATTGATCCCTTTTAAAGATTTGATAAGGTGCTTCAATCAATTGCCACCTAAATAATTTTCTATTTATTTAATTTCCATGTCATTAATTTAAATGCATTTATATAGAGGCATAAGGTAGCTTAGCAACTAATTGCCTATAATATAGGAATTTAATTTTCTCAACTCCCTTATGCGCATTAAATGACATTTTTTTAATAAAAAAAAAATTAATTAACTAATTCCTCATTTCCTTATTATCAGTATTTAAAAAAAAAATACTATTTCTATTAAAATTGTATCAATAAAAAGTCTTCAAACATATTTTTTTCATTTATAGATATATAAAAAATATACTTAAAACTTATGGTACAATTTGAGAACAAAAGTATCAACTTTTGGTACGTTTAGATTTCAAATGTATCGAGAAACCAAATGTGCCCATTGTCAGGTAATCATGTTGGTACGTTTAGATTCCTATTGTACCAAAAGACCAAATGAACAAAAAATCTCAAATGTACCACAAAACCAAATGTCTCTATCAGATAACCTTTTTGGTACATTTACATTCCAAATGTACCAAGAAATACAAAAAATCAAATCCACTATAAAACTAAATGTGTCCATATTATAGGTAACTAGACGTAGCTATATAATCAAACAAATCTTTACCATGTGTTGGGTCTTCTAAATAATAAAATTTGACAATTTTTTTTATAAATATTCTACTATATTCACACAAAAAAAGTAAATATTATAACAAACAATAAAAAAATGCATAGAGATGGATAATAAATGCATAAATATAGGGATAATAGGAAAAGAATAAAAAAGAAAACGAAATGCCCATGAGATGGATAATAAAAAAAATGTCATTTAATGCGTAGAAGGGGGTTGAGAAAATTAAATTTCTATATTATAGGCAATTAGTTGCTAAGCTACCCTCTATATAAATGCATTTAAATTAATGACGTGGAAATTAAATAAATAGAAAATTATTGAGGTGGCAATTGATTGAAGCACCTTAATCAAATCTTTAAAAGGGATGAATGTTTAATCTAAAACTATAGAAAATATGTAGAGCATTCTAATTTTCCCTCCGAAGGAAATTTGAAAATTGGCTGAAAACTTTGGAGCTATTGCGCGGTAAAAGCCATTGTTCGCGACGCTCTCTTATTTAAACAAACCCTGTCTTCCCTCTTGCCCCCCATCTGGTTTTTGGCAAATACCCAACGCATTGCCGTCGCTTTCTCCCGCAAGCTCTCAGAATGCCCCAGCAAGACGTGCAGAACGGAAGCCATGAAGTCAAAGAGCCGACTCCCAAGATCGCCAAGCTTCACGAAAACGGCGACGTTTCTGGAAACTTTGCCCCATTTTTCCGGGTGAAGAAGCTCTCTGAAAAGGCAGTTTTGCCGGCCAGAGGTTCCCCTCTCTCTGCAGGCTATGATCTCTCAAGGTGAACCCCAAAACCCCTAAGTTTATATTCGATTTTTATTTGAACAATCATCGGAATTTGATGTGGATTTTTGTGTAGCGCGACGGAGACGAAAGTTCCGGCCAGAGGAAAAGCCCTGGTCCCAACCGATCTGAGCATTGCCGTCCCTGAGGGAACCTATGCCCGAATTGGTAAAAATCCTAATCCCCAAATTTCCTGCTCAATTTCGATAAATTTTGATCTCTTGGCATACAGAATTTAAATGGGTTTTCTGTATTGTCTGTTGGGTGTGTAGCGCCACGATCGGGGCTGGCATGGAAGCACTCGATTGATGTCGGAGCTGGTGTCATCGATGCAGATTACAGAGGTCCGGTTGGGGTGGTGCTGTTCAACTTTTCTGATGTTGATTTTGAGATCAAGGAGGGTGACAGGATTGCACAGCTGATCATTGAGAAGATCATCATCCCTGATGTTGTGGAGGTTGAGGATTTGGATTCCACGTTCAGAGGTGCCGGAGGGTTTGGGTCTACCGGTGTTTAGAACCCTCCCCCAGCCACTCTACTGGTGGGATCTGGGGCTTTGGGAACAATGTAGTTGGGTAGTTTTGTTGAAGTTGTAGGTGACCGGTCTACTCCCTTGACACAAATGTTTTCAGTCAATGAATGAGTAACTAGTTTTATTTTGAACATCTATGTCTTCTTTAATTTGCTCCAGTTTGAAGAACAAACACGGACGATGACTGAAAACATAAAGATTCAATACGTGATTCCGTGATTGCAAAATTGCTAGAGATATATTATATGCATCTATTTGTTTGGACAGCATTTCTTGGAACCCAGAATTGTATCAATTCGACTACAATTATGATCAATGTAAGGTATTAGAAAATTGCAAGCAAAACCGGTACCGCGTTATGCCGTATTGATTGTAGTTGATATACATGAGGTTAATTTATTCGTTCAGCTGACTTTAAAGTTGATTAACTCCGGCAAAAGGCAACTATATCTGTGGCAAAAGTGTCGGAAGGTCAGCAGGGATATCTTTACTTGCCTGTCATACAAGAAAGTAATTTAGTTTCATGATACTTACATTCCAAACCGGATCTCAAACAGTCCAACAGGAGATGAATCTCCCGGGAACCTTCGGCTGATATACAATTCCAAATGAAAAACTTGATTTGCATACCTCCAAGTATTTTGTTAACAACGACGTGGTACTGTAGTTGAAGCCCTCGATAGGTTGCCCTTTTGTACGAGATGCATTGAGTTGCTTTCTAACTTGACTAGCCAATGACTGCTCACAACACAAAATATGTCTTAAAAGAATATGGAGCAAGCGAACAGAAAACTCATCCTTAAATGGAGAAGCGGGTTGATGAAAGTTAACGCAATTCTGTACCTTTCCCAATTCTACTCCCCATTGGTCAAAAGAATTGATTCCCCATACGAAACCTTCAACTGCAATTCTGTGTTCATAAATTGCCAACAACTGGATGCAGGCAAGTTGATATTAGAATGCCAAAGCAGTACAGACTATAAATTCCGACAAAAATAAGGTTATACTTCATATAGCACACGACCAGGACAACTTCCATTAAAAAACAAGCACAGAGACTAAACATGCAGGCCTTGAATGTTATCTTATAGAATTGAGAAGTTTGCAAATATGTGCTGAATGCCAACTTATCAAGCAATAAACTGTTTGCATTTGAATGTGCGGAAAACCTAACAAGTCGAAAAACCATAGGATGACTAGAGCACATAACAAAAGGTCGAAAATGGAAACAAATCACAAACCTGCCCGATGTTGTAAGCATTAAGTGATGGAAGCAGCAGGCTGAGAGATGGCCGATTTCCAGTGAAAGTCTGTGAGAGATGTCTAATAATTAGCACCACTTATTTACCTATAAGCCAATGACTAAAGCCAAAGGGAGCTCACCTTATGATTGATAAGATGCTCTGGAACATTCTCTTTCTTCAGCTGTTCTGGGTGCTACAAGAAAATTGATTTTGGTTAGAAAACATCATAGACCATATTTATGTGCTGCTATTAGTAGAGAGAAAACTGCAAGTTTATTTGCTAATCTTGGTTTTATCATCTTTTTCTGTTTTATCGTTTTTAGCATCATAGTGCAAACTCATTTTCCTTGAAAGAAGGGCATAAGTTAGTTTATGTAACTAAGAAATAATAAAAACATCAACCAGGGAGTCGGCATAAATCATACCTTTCCATAGGCAAGGGCATCGGGCTGTGCAAAAAAGTTAGACATGAGCTCATCATGATTACTCACCACTTCACCTGTAGCAATCCACTGATTAAACATCAGAATACAAACTTTGAAAAATACACTGACAGCTAAAATCTTTTCAGAAGAGTTTTAAATTATGTACCTTTCAGGTAAACAGGTTGCTGACTCTTCACAACACCAATAAAGTCACAAGGAATAACACGACCCTGATCATTCAGGAAGAAAAACGTTAGCAACCATACACGCACGACATAAACAAAAGTATCAAATTAATCATCTGAAGGTCAGTAATGTGCTTGATGTTCCTTCACATGTGATTAGAAAACTGAAGGTTTTGTAAATCATTTTTCATGCTAACCTAATTGAATGTTGAGATCACCTGGTGAATTAGTTGGTAAAAGCTGTGCTGACCATTTGTTCCAGGTTCACCAAAGTCAATTTCACCAGTCTCAAAGGGAAGTATTACACCATCAATTGATACACCCTTGCCGTTACTTTCCATGCTAACCTAAATTGAAGAAAAAATTGGAAGATATAAATTAAAAGTCCAGTTAACAAAAAATTGCAGATAGAGGGCAGGGGTGAACTTGCCTGTTGAATGTGCGGAGCAAGCTTCTCCAGTGCTTGGGAGTATGGTAAGATAGCCTAAGGAAAAGTAGCAACAAGTAAAAACACAAAACTCATTGATGCTTACAAATATGAAATCTGGAAAGGATAAAATAATACTAACTCTTGCAGGGTATCCAAGAAATGATACATTCCATATGCTCAACAGACCTAAAAGAACCTAAAGCAAGGATGAAACGTTAGATAACACATCACCAATTATATTACAAGGCAATCATTCTACAATAATTATGACAATACAAACTTTGGGTACTTACAGGTATATTTTTCTCAAATGGTGTTGAGTAGAAGTGTTGATCAATGCTTGAAGCTCCCTTTAAGAACCTTTGATTAGGAAATATAACATCCAAGTTAGTATATACAAAGATCATTTACCAACTAGTGAATTAAACACATCATGCGCCCATCTAAAATATTTTCTTCAGTACTTGATTTTGGCATGCAGTTTCAGAAATCTCACATATAAAAAGTGTTTATCAAGTACATACATTTACTGGAGAAAGCAACGACCATTTTTGTTTTGTTCAACAGAGCAGTAAAAGTTTTAGTTTCTCTATATTAACTACATTTCCATTGAATCCTGGATAGAAAAATAGAATAGACAATTAAATCCTAATCTGCAGCCTCATGAAGTGAGAAATCAAATCCAGGCATCACAAACTTCAAAAATGACTCATAAATAATTGAAACAACTACAAGTGGCTTACTTCTCAACAACTGAGAACCCATACTGAAGAGATAAAGGCAACACTCCAACAGCACTACAAACTGCAACCAGCAATTCAAAAATACTAATTAAACATCCAGGTAGCTGCAAATATCTATACAAGAAGGCAAACAAGTTACCACTATATCGGCCACCAACCCAGTCCCAAAATGCAAAAGCATTTCTTGGGTCAATTCCAAATTTCTCTACAAGCTGAAACAGAAAAGGAAAAAGATAAAAACGTGAATATTGACCTTAAAATTTCATCGTGGGTTTTCACTAGAGCACCTAAATCTGCCAAGTATTCCATCTCAAAATATAACCTCAGTCCTAATGGTCTTAATAAATTGCATCAGAAATGAAACCAAAAAGAAAAACTTAGAAATTTATTATGAAAAATGAATAATGACTGTAGTTAATTAAAATATATGATAATCTGAGTGTTCAATCAGCCCCAAATGCAATAGAACAAAGGAGACTATACCGTAAGATTAGTGCTGACTGCAACCATATGCTTTGCAACTGCAGCAGGCCTGAAATTATTACATTCAACCATGAGATAGAGAGAGAGATTAACTGAGTCCAAATTCAATCATCAAATAATAAACAAATCCCGAATCCCAAACAACTATTAGACCCATATATCCAAGAAGAGTTAGCAAATGCACTAACCCGAGAGAAGATGAAATCCATTCCCTAAGGGTTCGAGCATTCAACATAGTTTCAGCTGTTGTAAAAGTCTTTGAAACTACCACAACTGCAAATATCAAAAGAATATGAACAATAAGAAACCCCACATAAAGCTTAGATCACTACTTCACTACAAAAGTAAATACTTGGCATATAAATAAGCTCAATGCTTACCAAGGGTAGTTTCTGGGTTGAACCCTGCAATATTTCTGGCAACATCAATAGGATCAACATTTGCAAGACTGCACACAAAAGAAAACAAAGTATTAGATGGACAAAATAAAGTATCATATGGATAATATTATTGAACTGTTGTGTATTGAAATAATGATTAATAATCATAAAGTGATTCAACCATAACAGAATACTCTTTAGACCACAATCATAGATCTTCTGATAAATATATGTACGCACAAAAAATATGTACGACTGAATACAGGCTATGTTTCTTCAACCAACACAACTACAAAGCAAACCCACAGAATAAAGATCGTTTTCCAAAAGAAAAACAAAGAAAATTTGAAAACCAAAACCATGCCATATCTTAAAATCCAATGTCCGGTATCAAATACAGAACACTTCTCTCAATGTTTTTAACATTTGCATCCCTCCTTCAAGAACTATGCCACTGTAATAAACTCATGAACACAGATTATCTCATTGTTACAATCAGTTGGCCCTAAAAAGGAGTTGGAAGAAAGCTAACCTGCAACCTTTGACAACATTAGGGGGGAAATCACTTAAAAAGGCTCACGCAATGAATTCTTACTATCACATCTTACTGGTTCTAATTCATTAATATAGAGAACTGAAAATTAATAAATAAAAGTTCAGTGCGAAAGTACTTACAAATGCAGCTGCCTTCCCTTTGCTGCTTCCATAGCCTCTGGATCTGTAAGATGGAATCAAACTAATGAACACTCGCTAAACTTTGTTCTGAAGCAAGGTTAACCATTTTCACAAGGAAAACCCACAGTACAATGTACGAAGAGAAGAAAATGTGAATAGAGATGCAGATCGATTAAATGTATCAGGGTGACCTGTTTGAAGAGCTGTGTGCACAAATAGAGGACCTAAGAAGCTGCCACCAATACCAACCGCAATAACATCCTTCAATACTTTTCCTGTCGCTCCAACCTACCAGAATTGCCAATCACTTCAGAATTCAAGCAATATGGACCTAAAAAGGATAGCAAAAAAAATTTTGGTTGATTACCCAAGATCCACTTCGAATACTCTCTGAGAACTTTTGGATCTTGTCCAGAACTTCCCAAACATCTGGGACCACATTTTTCCCATCACACTGTATAGCTGCATCCCTTGGAGCACGAAGAGCAACATGAAGCACCGATCTATTTTCTGTGCTGTTTATCTAAGGCAACATCCAGAAAACAAAAATTCAGAAGAATCGTAGACTATTGGTTTGAGAAATTTGCCGGTCTCTTCCATAAATCCTATAAAGCTTCAAAAGAAGTTTTCAAATAATACTCCACCAAAGGAAGATAAACATGAGCTTACATGCTCTCCACCAAACATTCGATTAATCTTCTCTTTGAGGGATGCAGCCTGCATTGTGGAATACAAAACATTAACGAAAAAACAATATATTCACCTAACCCCTCCCAAAGAAGGGGAATTTTGGAATGATCCAACCCCACCTCCGCCAACTTGAGGAGCTTCTGCAAGGTTTCAACTGTGGCACACTGCCGCGAGTAGTCCAACAGGAGCCCATCAAACTCACTGTAAGAGTAAATGCACACATTATCAAGTTCCAATATCCATAGTTCCATACAAAACAAGGATTATATAAAATTGAATTAACATTAAAAGCTTTCATAAGTTCCAATATATGAACATACACCGTCATTGCCTGGGACCGCTTGACATCGTTCAGCAAGTTGCGCAAATGGGTCTTCTTTATGTCTTCAACGTGAGCCTGAACAACAAAAAATTACCTATAATTAACACAAATCAGAAAACTTTCAAACTACCCGTTCGCAAAGAGGTATCATCTCGATGACCTTCAAATCCTTCCACGGCTGAGTATCAGAGATCAGAACAGACGAAGCCATTTCAGATTATGCTGAAACACTTCTCAACCAAATTCCCTGCATTGAAAAATTGTGTTATTTTTCGACCAAAATTAAATAAATTTTCATACTTTTACCCAAAAAAACACTGAAATTTTTTATTAGCTCTCACGTACTGCCTGGAGCAGAAAAATTGCAGCAAATATTCTATCTTTTTCCTAGCGTTTCCCGGGAAGCAAACAGAAAATACAATCAAATTGCCATTCTTTTCGCGTTTTATTTTCGCCTGATCCTTTTTCTGCTAACGATATTCAAAATTGAATGCCTTCTTTTGCCGACTGCGTGTCATCTAAGATTGCGACAGCCCGTCGTACTCAATAATTGACCCAAAGTTTCGATAAATAAAGCTGGCGTGAGAGAAACGCGAATAAAATTTGGATCAAATCCGAATGAAAATAAAGAAATTGAGTAAATTGGCATTTCTAGGGAACCAAACAGGAAAAAGAAATATCAAATTGGCACTGATTCTGCTTTTTTAAGCCGATCCTTCTTCTGCTATCAGAGTACACAAAATCGACTAAAGAATTTCACTGACGTCGTACTCAATGCTTTACACAGAACAAAATTTCGATCTTTTCCTAGCGTTTCTCGGGAACCAAACAGAAAACATGATCAAATTCGCATTTTTTTCCCGGCTTTTTTACCGGAATTTTTGTTACAACACAAATTACAAATCGACTGTAAAATAATACTGAATTGCGTATCCCCTGTGATTGCAACAGCACATCCCCATTAACAATTGACCAAAAATTCGATAAATAAAGCTGGCGTGAAAGAAAAGCGAATAAAATTGCGATCGAATCCGACTGGAAATAAATAAATTGATAGAACAAAATAAATAAATAAAAAACTTTAAAAATTAATAAAAATGGAGATGATGTCTACCTGGTGGAGCTTCGAGAAGAAGAAATTCTTGGTGCAGAAGAAGATAGATTTGTTGATTGGCAGAAGGTTTGGAAGTACGCTAAAAGGAAAGAGAGAAGCTTCGGCCTCCAAGTGTCACCGGCCCTACTCGGTGAATCGGTGACTCGGTCACGTGAAAGCCGAAACTGTGGGGTGCTTTTTCGGATGGATCGGACGCGTGGCAAAGTACGATTGCTTAGAAAACAGGAAAAAAGATGCAAAAATTAAAAAAGTTCCGTTGCCGGGAATCGAACCCGGGTCTCCTGGGTGAAAGCCAGATATCCTAACCGCTGGACGACAACGGATTTGTTGTTTACGTTACCTCACTAAAATTATTTATTAGAACATGGAAGAGAAGCTTTTGCATCGAAAACTTATTTTTTCACACCTTTTGTTACGAGTTATTTGTTATAAATGGGAAAAGTTAGGAGATAATCATCACTAGGGACAGGAGAAAAGCAATCGCAAAATATTATACTATTTAGTTTCGTAATTATAACACAAAATGTTGCAAGAAAAGAGAAAGGAAGAGATACTGATATTATTACTTTCACTTCTTTTCTTTCATGTGTATTGTAATCACACACATAGTGCTTTTTATATAGAGCCACATCCGTAACAAAACAAAAGTGAGATGATTGCTCTTTTTGAAAGCTTTACATAATAACAATCATACTACTGTGACTTTTTTGAAAACATCACATAATAACAATCACATTACTGTGGGCATTCATTCTCACAATTTTACAACATTATTTTTATTTTTCACAACTTTTACCACATGGAAATCGTGCCTATATAAAATGGGAACAATAATCTCAAATGGACTAAGATAAAAAGAAACATTTACAAATTAGAATTCATCATATATGGTACTTAAAAAGAGGTATATTTCCATTGTATACATGTTTATAGTTTTGTTTCTAAAGGGACTTTTCACTGCATTTCAGGGTTATGCTATGGTGTTCTTCCCTCCATTCCCGATCCGATCCGGCCGCGTTTGAGCCTCTAAACTTTCTCTGCAAAACTTTGTTTGAGTTTGACAACTTCTGCTGCAAAATGAAACATAAATTCTTGCTATCATTCCATCAACCCAAATACAGCAAAAAGTTTAAAAAAAAAAAAAAGGGCCAGCGAAGTGCGTTCTCATCTCTCACCATTGTAGAAACATATCATCATACTTGTAGCTCTTCAAAGTGGGGAACTCTTCTGGGTGTAAGGACTTGTGCATCCACCGTAGTTAAAAGTTGCGGTATTGACAGACCTCCTGAGATGACAATTTCTGCAGCGACCGAAAACCAAATGAAAACAACTATGAGAAGGCGAGATACATAATTAGATAGTACATTATGTTGCAAATATTTCTGTACAAAAAGTCATACCAATCCCCTCTCCAACTGACAGATTTGGTCTCAGAATATCCTTGGGACTGATCAGAAAAATGTCTCCCAGATAAAGATGGTTGGTAGGTACATAAACGCAGCATAGCTCTTCTCCTACGTTTCTTTGATCAAGAACAACTGTTGAAGTGATAAACCCTAATGCATACTCCCCGATTCTTGGATGCCTTATGATCGCCACTTCCTTGAAGGCGTTTATGCTCTGATCTGCAAAGTGATGTAAAATGAGTGGAAAATTCTGGAACATGGGAACTTAGACTACGATTTATTGTATGGTTTGCAATGTACCTGGTGATATTGCTGTGCTAATTTGCTTTGATGCAGCATAGATATAGCTTATAAGTGGCATTTTCGTAATAAACCACTCCCATAGAGTAAGAACAGAAGTTCCCAACCACGACTGCATGAAAACGCCGACTAAGAAGATGAAGACGAGGGAGGTGGCAAATCCAAGACCTGCATATTGACGTCAACATTGTACATGTTTTGTTTCGTAAACTAGGCCCCAAAAAATGAATGAAACAGCCTTCCACTAAACACATTGCAGATCCTATGGGAGTTCTCAGGGTTGGAGTTAAGTCTTTTGCTTTGCTCAGAAGATTGATTACATCTTCAAAGTTTATGCCTACTTACCCATGTCGACTAACCCAAGCAACTCACGCTAAAACTCGAACGATGATGAGTTTGTAACACAAACTTGAATTCTTCTACTCTTTGGAGATAAATTTATAAGACAGAGGAGCAATTCTGCTTACCGAAAATATTGACTCCTAGGTGGTTGTAGATTGGGGAGAATAAACCATCAACAAATTTAATGAAAGCCCATGTGATGTAGAACGTAATAGCTATTGGAAGAAGAATGACACTGCAAAGGAAAAACAAATCATGGAACATATCACAAAAAATGTCGATTTTGACAGTAATTTGTATACATTTCAAGAGAATCTATGAATCAATTTGCTTTGAAATATTAAATTCTAGTAAAATACCACTTAACTAATATTTGAGTTTGCAGATACGGGTTAAGTAAGTTGGTTAGGGCAGAGTGCCCACCCTAGCACTCGAGTTCAAATTCCCCCTCCGTACATTAGAGTATTTACTTGACGCCAAGTACCAACAAAGCGTTCATTTTCATAATATGTGAATGTTAACCCATCATTTAATTGGGATTAAGCGACTAAGCATGTCAGATTAGGGATCGTTGTGGCAGGTACCCGGAGTAAGTCCGGCTTCATTGGAATCAGACCGAGTGCAAATGCCACAGAGCAACTAAACAGTGTTGAGTAAGAATTAAGAGGGATTAGAAGAGATAATATGTTACCATCCTGTCATAAACTTCTTGGAAGCCCAGCTCCGAATAACTTTCGAAAATGCCTATACAAAAGAACAAGCAAAGAATTTAATTTCATGCAACTTTCTGAGAAATATTTGATCTAACGTCACTAGACAAGTAACAAAACAAGGATATGAACAACGAGATCACACTATTTTCAAGTTACGTTAGAATTTAAGCGTCAAACCTAAAACCAATTTGCGAACGAGACATACTAGACTTTCATCGTTCGATATGAAAACGGATCAACCATAACAACCATAATCTATTTTCACATTTCATCCGTATTCATATGATTATGCAATATTTATAGACCTAATTGGGAAAGGCAAGAAGGCAAATGAAATTGGACGAAAACCTCGTGGCCGGTTTGATGATGGGAATGGGAGGTGGTGGGAGGTGGGGAGTTTGGTGGGGAGGAGGATTTGGAATCTCCTCCGTTTTCGGAAACGGCAGCGACTGGGATGAGGAGCTCGAGATCCCTTTCTCTCCCTCTCGTCGCCATTGTTGTTGCTTTGCGTCTGCGTCTCTGCCTCCCTTTGTTTTTCAGGAATGCTCGGAAGTCGGACCACTAACTGAAAATCAAATTTAACCAGTCATAGCTTCCTCAGCTGTGGTTACTTATATTTCCCGGGTTGAACCGGGTCCAAATAAACAAGCCCATCACGTTTATATAGTATAGTCCAACATTTTTTCGCTTCTTATTGGATGAATTGTAAGATGTGAGATAGGCTTTGATGTTATAGATAAGACATTGGTGAAGGGGAGATGTTGAATCCAAGGAGTACGTAGGATTATTAACAGTTGTCCGCGGTGCTCGTTGGACTCGTTTGAAAGTTATTTTAAAATGATTGAAATCACTTTTGATGAAAGTGTTTTTGAGTTCAAAAAGCACTCTCATAAAAAAACATTTCCAGTTATTTTAAAAGAACTTCCAAACGAGTTGTGATACCATAAATATAACATGTACATCAACATAACTCTTTAAAATCACAATAATACGTAATGTGAATAGGAATAAGTTGATAAAAAAAATTAACATCACAGACACGTAATCACAAAGATACATAATACATCAAGGTAGAAATTTGAGTACACCAAACCATGACATCAAACTCTTCAGCTCTCTCGTAGAATCAGTAATAGTCACTTACCAAAATGTACAAAACATTTCTTCACAAAGAATCCTAAATCCTAAGCAAACATACATATCAAGGAGGCAGATTAACTGATATCCCTCCGTATACATTTCTGAGTCTTCCCAAGTTCCTTCATACATCTTTAGTACTCCCACCTGGGTAGTTGCAGCTATCATAGCCTACGCAACACAGAAGGGTACAAAGTTTAATAAATGAAAAAAGAAAAAAGAAAAAAGATCAAGATTAAAAACTTACTAGGGTTGTTGGACGTCAGTGTGGCGGTTTGCGAGAAATCGCAGTTCCAAGGATTTCTGCCAGCGGTTTGATATAGGAGATTCATGGCGTAAGTAGCATGGGATTTTACTGTGTTTGGTTCAAAACAAGACCCTCCGGGTTGAATTGGAGTGCAATCAAAACCATGTCCACAAACATAATCTATATTAGCCTGTAACTGAGAGTCTGATACGCCGGCCTTGGGCACACAATATGATCCTTTCTTTGGCTTTGGCCCCGATGGATTCGCTGGCGTGGGGGGCGTGGATGGCGTGGTGGGCGTAGATGGCGTGGCGGGCGTGGTAGGGGTCTGAAGCAAAATAAATCAAGTTAAATTTAAACACTGCAACAAAAACATTTAGAACATATGTCAGTCCCTTTGTAACTTGTTACTCCTCGGCTTTGGAATGCAGTAGCTGATACTATAATCAATTTCGATTGGCCCTAGCTAAGTCCGTCAGGGTTTGTAGTACAACTAAAGGTCAACATGTCTGAAGCTAATCGACAACCGGTTGGATCAGCATATCAAAATTAACCTAAAATCACAAATTGATGATAGTGATATCGTGATTTTTACCTGGCTGCTCTTAGAGAGACCAACATCATAATTCATGGTGAGGTCAGGCTTGAAGAGACCAAATGCTCTCTCTGACACGGGGCCAGGCTTCAAGTTCTCATCGTAGAGTGCAAAGAGGTAAGTGTCCACAGACTTTCCCGGCATCAATGGCGTCCCAACCATTGATCGAAGGTGCGCAATCAGGTTTCCGTTATAAGCTTTCGCGTTCTGGACACTTGGACCAACCTCATTGTCGTCCCCTTTGTACGGCCATCCGGTCTCCGCCACCACAATTTCCACCCCCTTGAAGCCTATAGAGTCCAATGCCGATCTTATTGCATCCACCTATACAGAATTGGGCGGTAACATTTTTGAGTTCGTTCGCCATGTTAACTAGAGCAAACGAGTTCTCATGTACTCGAATTCAAATTTTTATCACTGAAGCGTAGATTGATTTAAAGTTGAATATCGCTCGTAAAAAGAAACAAACGGAACAAATAAATAACTGTCTTGGACTGGACAAGACCGGTGGAGATAATTTACCTGAGCATCGAACATGTTCATGTACTTAATATTTGTGTTGGAGTCGAACCGCCCATTATTCGGCTGAAATAGGCAAAAAGCCAGTGTCTCGGGTCTCGGGTCACTCCGGTACGCGAAATACGGGTACGGGTTGATAGCGAAAGGCGAACCGGTGGCGTTATTAAACCCAAGCAACTCCTTTATGACGTCACCAAAACCCGGGTCGAACCTTGCGGAGGACGGCGGCTCGGAATGCTTGAGCATCGCCATGGAGTGTACGGTGGAGACCTTGATTTTCCCGCCAAGAGACAGGGAAGTGAGGGCGTCTTGAACATTCTTAATCGCCGGGACCAGCTGAGAAATCAGGCCCTGGTCGCCGTAAGTCAAGACCTCGTTGCCGACGGTGATGAGGATGATGTTGCTCGCCGGGTAGAAAGGGGACACGTTAGCTCCAACCCAGCTCTTGGCGAAACTGGGGTCGGATGCGAGACCCGGGATGTCGCCGTTCGACGCTCCGATGACGATACCCAAGCCGGTGTTCGCCAGGGCTTTGATTATGGCCGGGTCGGAACCGTAAAGCCGAACCTTCTGGATTGAAGTTGACTGGAGCAGCTTCGTGGTGGACGACGGTGGCGGTAGGTTGTCGGCAACTTGGCCGTAGTTTACACCGATAAATGATTGGCAATCTGCATTAAAAACAGAGCAATTAAATTATGGGGTTTATTTCTTTTGAAAAAGATATTAGGATTGAATCAATCAACATTTTTTACGAGCTTACTTGCGAGGTTAATGGATAAAACGAAAAGTGCTAATGTATGAAGAAATGTAATCGCCATGGCTGACGACAGACTGCTCTGTTTCTGTGAAGGTGAAAAGAATGGAGGGAGAAAATTAATAGGAAAGTTCAAGACTTGGGGGCAAAATCGTAAAGTGACGTTTCGGTAGGCTTCGACTTTACAAAAGCACACATTTTTTTTTTCCAGTAACATGGAAGAAGAAAAATGAAGTGTGCTATCCACACATCTCTTTTTACTTTTCACATATCTCTTGTTAATTTCTGTCATTTGATCTTCTTTAATTCATCCGATCTGACGGCCGAAAATTAAAAAGGTGTGATAGAAGTAAAAAAGGATGTGTGGATATCACACCCCAAGAAAAAAAATCCAATAAAGAACAATTAGTCTAGTTCTAGCCACTTCAGAGCAGTCATCGAAAAGAAATTGGCAAGCTCTTGAAAATTCATCTCGTCTTTTAATTTCAATTGGGCAAGTCAGCTCCAAAACTATGTTCTATGACATGCTACAAATTACAAATCTAGTTCTCTATGATCAAACTTCTGCACTCCAAATCATAACACTTCGTAACGATGTTTCGACTTAAATATTATACTAAATATATAGTTATTGCTCAACAAATCATAAAACTGCTTCCAAATTTCTTAAAATTTTTAACTTAATGCTCAAAAAAATATTTTGCGAAAATAAAAAATTTGCATTTTTTTCAAAACGCATGGGTGTTAGAGGGCTCGACTCACGCAAAACGAGGCTGGCTCCGTGCACGCCAAAATGGTGCGGGCTCCATGGATAGAAAAAGGAGCGGGCTTCGGGCACCCAAAACAATGCGGACACCTCACATGCAAAACAAGGCGAACCTAAACACACAAGACGAGGCATGGTCCGGGTAAGCAGAATGAGGCGAACTTCTGGGTACTTAGAAAATGAGTCGGGCTCCATGCATGTAAAAATATATTTCGTAGAACATGAATATGATATTTTGTAATAGTGGTGAGAGAAATAAAAGAAAATTGCACAAAAATGATTCAAATATGGGAACTTTAACGAAAAGCACTCGGTACTGTTCACTTTAACGAAAAACCACATTTTTACACTAAAAAGTCAATCCTGGTACTATTCACTTTACCATTTATTTTGTTCTTATCATTAAAACTCAAAGTTTTCAAGCCATTTTCATTAGTTTTCCTTTCAAATATTTATAATTTTGAATCATTTTTGTACAATTTTGTTAATTTTTCTTTTGTTTTTCTTATCACCACAACAAACTATAATATTCATATTCTTCAAAATAAATTTTTTCATGCAAAATCTATTATAATTCGTATTTGAACACTTGTAATCAATGATTTAAAACCTAAATTTAAAGATATTTGAACCTTTTTTTTTGTTAATTTTTCTTTTATCTAAAGCTACACTATATATTTATATAACCATTTTTGTTAACCAAAAGAGGGTGAAAGACTGTTTAACAAAACAAAATTTTGCTATTTTTTATTTAAGCGTCGCCCACATGTGATTTTAACATCTCTAATTTTTTTTAAATTAAAAATATATAACTAAATATACATTTTAACATCTCTATATTTTTAACTTATTTTTTTTACTGAGAAAGAGCATCTTAGCACATAAGTAATGACAACAACAAACATTGATTTTTTATAATCAGTTCAATATGTTAATCAAAAGAACAACAAAATCTAAACCCAAAACCATTTTATCTCATTAGCAAAAGAACGGGAAAAACAAAAGCACTTTTTGTGAATCTACGGTCTACCAAAATCAATACCAGCCACATTACACAAAGCGAAATTTTCTTCCTTAGTAAGAAAGAAGCACTTCGTTTTAGAAAGCGAGGACATTTCCAGCTTAAAAGAACTTTGAGCAACATAAACGAAGCAAGGTATTTGCCCAAGAAAGCACTGTGAGAAAAAGTGCTTCTCATATATTAGTAGTATATTAATTTGGTCACTTGAGGAGCAACAAACGCACAAAGGTAAGCTGACTTTGAGAAGTTGGGTATAATTGGCGCGCAAGTAACCTTTTGAATAATGCTAAGAATAATGGAAAGGAAACAAGATTTCGAACATTCAAAATTAAGCTTTCTGCCTACCACTTCTCCAAGGCTTTAATTAAACGGTTCATGAAAGAAATTCCGGTTCGGGTGGAGCAAGAGCAAGCGGAGCTTGGCGATGATGTTAACCGGACAAGTAGAGCAACAAAAGTAACCAGTACGGGTTCATGTGGCGCTTTCACCCTTGCGGAACTTGGGCTCAATAGTTTACCAATAACTTGCGCAAGGGCTTCATAAATTCGTAGCACTAGACAAAGCCAATCAAAATCGCATAAATTTTTTGGACCGGATGGCAGTCATGGCCTAATACAATTGTTCGCTTAGTCCTTGGATTCTGGTCTCAGAGCGAACAAACGAAGATCAATTTGTTGGAAGCTAACTGGTACGGAAAAGACGTCGAAAATGCAGAATTAAATGCATAGATGTTACATTATTCATCTCTTGCAACCCAAATATGAATTTCTTATTCACTAGGTTAATGTATCGCTGAAAAACCCGTGCGAAAGAGGTCTCTGGTAAGCTCATCTACAAGTCCACCGAGCACAAGCCTCTCCAAATCTTTCACAACTTCATCTACTTCAACAACTGCAAACATAGTTTTATCCCAACCCATATCCCACATGCAATTCAGTTCCGGCTCCCAGCTATGCATATCGCTTTCCAGCATTTTGGGCAGATACGCTTCCGCCTCACATTCATATTTTCCTTTTCTCCCGTAGAACTTCAGAGTCTCGAAATCTTTATGCAGTTGCCTAACCAGCTCATTCAAGGACCGTATTTTGACAAAACTTATTGATGCCTTCTCGCATTTAGGATGAACATTGAGCTCGTGCCTTATCCCTTTTCGTTTCATTACTTCGTAGGCACAGTCTAATGTGAGCTTGCTGTCTACATCTGGGTTGCAGTCGCGGCCGCTGTCGTGAAGAATGCTGAAAGGGATGTCGAGCTTGAAAAGTGCTTCTGCTGTGTTGAGGAAATGATGGCTCTTGATCACTACCTGCTTCAGGTGGTTTTCAATTTCTGTCGGCTCTTGTTTTCTCAGGTTGAGTGCTTTATGGTGCTCCAATACTTCTGCATAACAAATGTCACGGTTTCCTGCAACTTTTAGAAACTTAATGAGTTCGCATTTTGTGTAAGACGAGAAAACTTACCTGCAACAAGATGCCACTGTGGCTTGTATTTCAAGCTACTAACGCATTGTCATACTTTTAACTTACCCACGTTGCAGTGATGGCTTGAGATACTGCCACAGTGACATTCTCCGTTGCAGAGAAGTTTTTCTCTTGTAAGAAGGGAAGTTGAATTGAAAGAGGTTCTACTTACCATTAACTGTAATTGATGCAGTTATGCACTCATCATCTCCGAAAGCAGGTGCTTGATCTTGTTGATCATACTGCATAACGTACAAAAAAGCTTAAGTCAGTTGCCAGCCTATTTCGAATTAGACAAAATTTTGCAACTGAATAAGTATCTTTTGTTTAGAAAGTTATCGATTTTCAGATTTTGTAAAGATGGACATACACTTTCCTTTGGAAGTAGAGTTTGTGATTTTTCGAGTCTTCGACTTTCAACTTCATTGGGATCATACAAAGTGGGAGCCTCCAGCTCTGCTTCTTTATGTTGGTTTTTGCCCTGAATCTAGTGGTTGAACGCTTGCTGTTGATTTGTTGGACTTGACGATGTGTGGCTCAGCTTGTTTTAGCCTGCTGGCTCTAACTTTTTCTGTTGCATTGTGACTACCACGTTTTTCATAGCTTCGTCTGGTTGCCACTTCATCGATTCTTTGAGGCATTTCGCTTTTATTCACTCTTCTAGATTTTGCCTTCTGCAGTGGTGGTGCTGCATGAACTGATCTCTCCTCCATAGCCGGTAGAGTGCCAAAATTTTCTTTTGCTTGTTGAGGATCCAAGGAGTTTGGTGAAAAATCTTTCTTGTTGAAATTCAAGTCAGCGGAACTTTTGCTTCTGACCAGATTTTCATGATATTTGCCATTTGGAACTCTTGTGGATTGCACTGTTGCAGCGGCTTCTCTAGCGATTTTCTTATTTACCCAAGTTTGCTCTGCAAGTGTCTGCTTCTTTTGCAAATCTACTGCCCCTTTTGACTTTCTTCTTGATATCATTTCACTTCTTCGTTGTTTCTTCGCCACCAACTTTGGTTGTGGAATTTGCCGCTCCTTCGTCTCCTGTCTGCGCTTTTCTTTCGGTGACTCAGATTTCAAAGCCATGGATTGCTGCTGGAGTTCAACATCGTATGGGGGCTTATGCTGCTGATTTCTTGGGAGAACGTTGTTCCCATTTTGCTTTTCCACTGGAACCCGAATTTCCTTGAACCCTGGTTTTGCTTGCATCACAGGTTTATCCTGTTTGAAGGTCTGACTAGGTTTTTGGTGCTTATCTGATTTGATGGTTGCATTTCCTAATATTGCCACGGGTTTAAATTCTTCCGGATCATGAACAACTACCCCAATGCTGATATTATTGGCAAGCATTCTTTTCTCTGCTTGCGAAACAAACGTCATATTCTGCATCAAAGGATCCTTAGTCTTAACCCCAGAAATCTTACTGCTTTCATTTGTTGTTTGCTCTATCACGTGCCTTTCTCTTTTTGACTTGGAACTCAAGTCTTCCTCCGCGGTGTGCTTCAAGTTTTCGTTTTTTGGAAGCTCATTCAGCCCCATTAGTTTTGCAATTACAATTGGAATCCTCTCCTTTTCTGGTTTAGACTCTTTCTGTTCTGTTGATGGATTCTTGACACCTCCGGTATAGCTGACTGATTGCCTCTGAGAAACTGATGTTGAGGAGGTTATTTTCCCTTGCTTTCGCGGTTTAAGCCACTACCTTCTGTAGTGTAGGTTAGAGCTGCAGTCACCTTCTGCTCGAACCCGGGCCTTCCAACTTCTTGATTTTTACGCGCGTGTCTCGAACCCTTGTCAAAGGAGAAGTTTGGCAGATCAATTTGCTTTTCCTCAGCCATTTTGACAGCATTATCTTCCTCATCTAGCAATGTGATCTGATTTTTCCTCTGAGAGCTGACTATGTAACCAGAAGTTTCCTGCAGGTTTACAAGCATTCTCAAGGACTCTTCCAAATCCATTGCCTCTTTCACTAACTCCTTCCCAACTTCTATTGAAAATCTATCAACATTAAGTCCATTCGAGCAGGCCTCTAGGATCTGATTCAATTTATGTGCTCCTCTCGATATTTCTTCGATATGGTGATGAGAAAGGTTAGGAAAATGGTTACTTGAACCGAAGTGCCTATTGACGCTACCTTTTCCTTCCATCTCGCTGAACTCCACGGCTCCCCTCCCAATTTGATTCAAAAATCCTAGCATTGGACTTCTGCTAGATGTATCCGCTTTCCCGAGCTTTCCTCCATTTTCAAGTGCAAAAGCCAATGCCACGGAAAAATCTCCCATTGGTTCTGAGCTCCTACCTCCTCTCCCGTAAGCAACAATCTGATTCGAACCCTCTTGAACAATCGGTGTTCTGCTACTTCCTCCGGAGCCAATCTGCAGTAGTTGGAAAGAAAAGAAAAATATTTGGACCAAATTAACGAAGTTCATTCAGTCCTGATTTCTCATCTAATTACAACAATTTCACGTAAGATTACTTACCGGTCCATTGGTGCTTACATCCGCTCTTCCTCTATGATTCTGCTCGGAACAAGCATATGCATCTGGATGAACACATGAAAAAGACATAAACTTTATTTCGACCGATCCTTTTTACCTTGCATCAACTTTTTCAACCCATGATTACTTGCAATAAAAAGCACACATAACTGGATTATTTCCTTGAGAATTATTTTTGTGGTTAAATTTCTACACTTGTTGCTGCTATAACTGCAGCCTTTATTCGTGCTCTTTGATAGTGACGAACAATTAAACATTTTCCTCATTAAGGACTAATCAGTGAGATCAATAAACTTTCAATATGGTAGACAACTTAGATTAGAAACTTACCTACTGCCATTGAAGTCCAACGGTTTGAACTCTGAGGCGCACCCATTTTCTCCTTGCGGACGCGAAGATCGTCCAGCAGCTTCTGCGCAAAATCCGATCTCTTTGCCATGCTGTGCTTGCAGTTCAGCTCGCAGCTACATCATATGTTTCAGCAAGAAATTGGAAGACTCTGTTGGGTGGGGCATTAAATTCAATGACAAAAAAAATAGAGAGGTGAGAAGGGAAGCTCAGTGTACATAATTTGTGGGTGGATGGAGGGATCCTTTCAAAGTTTGGTTTAGGTCATACCTCTCTGTCTCTCTCTCTCTCCCTCTCTCAGCTTTCTCTCTCTTACTCTCAACTCCGTTACCTATACCGCTGTGGTAGTGTGAGTGACCAACTTATATTCCAATCTAAGCAAAGGCTGAGGATTTTTCAATGGGCCTTTCGCTTTCAACCTCTCTTTTTCGTTAACTTTTTCCTGTTTGTATGCATGGTTTAAAGCCTTAAATCCATGATTAGTAGAAGACAAATCAAGACGTACTGATAATAACCAAGAAACACGCATGCAAATTTCTCAAGCTAATTGACTTAATTGATTAAAGGGTCCTTATTAGAAGCAACACATAATTGCTGAATCCACACTAATTGCTGCTTATTGGAGTATCTCCACCGCTTCCCAATTGCCTCTGCAATTGGATTAGGGCTGGTTTGGTATTGCTGTGCTTTGAAAAAAAACTGATGTGAGAATAAGCGGCTGTGCTGTGAGAATAAGCGGCTGTGAAATAAATCAGCAGAATGTTTGGTAAACTTTTTTGTAAAAGTGCTTTTGGAAAAAAAAAAAAGTCTGATAGTGGGTCTTTTCATTAAAGGAGCACCGTAGTTCTGTGTGCTTTGAAAAAAAGCCAGTTTTCCAAAGCTACAAATGGCAGCTTCAGCTTTTTCCTTTGATTTCAGCTTATTCTCATAGCAGCTTCCAAAATAAGCCCTTTTTTTTTAGTTTACCAAACACCAAAAACACTCCCAGCTTTTTTTCACAGCAGCTTTTTTTAAAATCACCTCAACCCCAAACTGGGGCTGAATTGCCTCCAACCCAAAAAAATATTTTCCACCAGTCCAAAAATGAGAGGGCAATTGGGCCAAGGGCTTGCGTCCTTTCAATTGCCCTTACAATTGTTGCTCAGACTTGCGCCATTTGAATTAGCAGAAGGGAATGGGAGGGCCACACCCACGCCACGTGACAGCCCACCCCCCTTCAGCACAGCCTAGCGCCTTGCAAACCCTTGGATTTCCAACAGTCCTTTCATTTGGAAAGTTGGATTTTCAAAGTGAAAAAAAAAAACAAAAAAAAAACCAATGTCTTTTAACAACACTCTTAAAATTAGACACACTAAGAAACTTAAGAAGTTCAACCATCTTCTTCATTAAGTTCAACCACCTTCTTCATTTGCCTTTATTTTTTATTAATTTCTAACTAATTATTTTTGTTTTAAGTAATTATTTTTAACTAAATATGCTTACAAGGCATAAAATATTAAAAGAAATACATTTGTGAAAGTAATCGCCCTTGTCATTGCCTTTCATTTTCTCAAACGGATGGACATACAAAAAAACAATTACTATTTATAATGAATAGTAAGGAAAATTTCATTGCCCTTGCCTTTGACGTGCCCTTAAACGGGTGGTGATGACCTTAGAGAACCAAGAAATACTGTTAATTCCCAAAAAGTACCACTAATCGTGTACTTGATCTCCTATCATTTGGGTCACCAGCCAAGTCTGCATCACTTAAAGCTTTTAGAGATGACTAATACCACGAGACACAACAATGAATTGAGACTCCATTCGAGAGTGCATGAATTGGCAGACTTAGTGCACACAAAAAAAAAAAAAAAAACAATATTAGGTCTGGTTATTACTAAATACCGCAAGACACCAACAATGCTTCTATATAAAGCAGGATTAATGAATGACTTCCCATCATCTGGTAAAAGTCTGCTATAACATCCTAAATGAGTTACCTACACTCAGCTACACTACGATGGCATCCCAAATGTAACGTGATGCCATATGTGTTTTCACGTATGAGTACGGTATTGTATGGTGTACACCTGAATACTTGATTTGATATTTACGTTTCGGAAAATACTTCTACAAAAAGAAAAATACAAATGTTGTATAATGTATACATAAATAAGTAGACAAGTAAAATTTCCAATGTACAACATTCCCATTGAACTGTCATTTCTTGAGTCTACAAAATAAGATAATATAATACAAAAAATAAAATAAAAAGAACTGGTGCATATGAACAAGAAAAACGATACACAACAATGCCAATATCTAAATTAAAACATCCCAACTAAATTCGAATGGAATTTTTTTTAGATAAAATAAATTTAAATTTTGCAAATAACATGTATGGTTCGAGATATGCAGATTGACCCAGAAAAGGTTGTGGCAGATCGCCAATCCCGAATTCGGGATTGGATTAAATCCGAGCCTTACCATTTCCAAGCGTGAGCTCCAAGTCATCAAGTCCCACCTCGTGAATCTTCTCTCCGATCCACGGCTTTACGTCCGGAATTTGATCCGCGGGAATATTCTGGTGAGCAAAAACAGGCTTCACAAGATTGAAGGTCGGAGAGGCCGGCATTGCCGACAGAGAAGGAGCAAATCTCTGGAAGCAAACCCATTGGCCGGAATCTGCGGTGGAAGTATCGGACTCGTCACATTCCGGGATAGTGGCAGCTGGAGGATGAGTATAGTGGTGGCGGGTCGGGCTCGCCGGAGCGGAGATGGCATAAAACGGGTAATCGAAAGAGCCCATGGACTGTTTAGCGATGGAGTCCCAGTTGGGAATTGGGTTGGGGCGTTTGGAGGTCGGGGAGGAGAGCGGCGGGGTTACAGGGGCACTGTTGGAAATTCGCAGGGGAGGAAGAGGTGATGGGATTGTAGAAGGGGGATAGTGGCAGGGATTGGATGAATTAGTGCTGGGATCGAAACGGGGGGGACTGGGATAGCACGAAGACGAAGGACTGACTTGGTAGGACGGGATTGGACTCGGATTTAGCGAAGAGTATGGGCTTATCTTGGTCGATGCGCCCGGCGTATCATTTTGAATTGGCTTCAATCCCTGTACAACAACAAACACAATCCAATTAATTGAATTTATCGTAATTTTCCATGGATCTAAGCTACGAGTAATTGACAATTAATTAATTAATTATAAATTAAATAAGGATTTGAAATAATTAAAGAACGGCGACCTTTCGGTAGGTGGTGCCGTCCACCTCGACGGTCCAGCCGGCCTGGAGGCAGAGAGCTTTGAGGACCTCGTTGTTGTCGCAGTGCTTGGGCAGGTTGAAGTTTCCCTGAGCTCGGAGGCCGGTGAATATCTTCGCCGCGATGGCTCTCCTCCTCCTCTCTCTCCGCCGGTTGTTCTCCCTTTCCCGCCACGACGGCTTTCTCCGCGCCGTCCTCGCCGCTGACGTTGCTCCGTCAGACGTCATTCTCCGAACCAATTAGCTCCCTCTACCTCTCGCTCGGTCGCAGAGATTGTAAATAGTCGAGCTCAGGTGCGTCGCAGGGGATTTAAGCCATGCAGAATCACGAGAAATGCGCTTTCGCTTTTTCGCTGGTTTGTGTGGAAGAATCTCTTTCTCCCCCTTCTCAGAGTTAGCAGAAATAAAGATGAAGCTGAGAAGTGATAGCACGTATCGCGGCTGCACTCAAAAACCTAGTGGTCGGCGTTTTTAATTGGTTGTACCCGTACTTGTTTTACAATTCTTTGATCAAGGACCGTAAGATTAGGGTAGTGGAATATATACCGTCGGTGATTGAGGACCTACCTTAATCATGTGCTTCTATTGCAGGCGAATGATTCTCTGATGAGAGAGTGTGAGAAAGGAATACTTTTCGCCGCGTGGATGTTGATTATTTAACTGTTTATTTTCCTGCCAAACCAATAATTCTCCCGCGTTTCCGGCCTTTTTAGTGGGACCTAAATGGGACCCACTTTTCTGGACACTGGGTTTTGCTGTTTTTGTTCTCTGTATGGGGACTGCATGGGGATTTGGGTTGGACCAAGAGAAGAAGGAAAGGAAATGGGCTTTTGAGTTGTAATGTTTTAACAACCAGTCCACTAGGCCCAACCCAAAATTCTAAGTAATAGACCAAACACGCTCTAAAACTGAATTGTATTCTTACATTTTGATGGGGAAGAGTTTGCATTTAGCTGGAACGCTCATGCCATCTATAATGGAGAGGGTTAAGGGTATAAAAGCTAAAAAATAGCCTAATTTGTTTAAAAATTTATTTTCAACTGATATTTGGATTATAATTCTATAAAACTCACGAGATCATTATTTGACCGAAAGGGCACTAGGATGTCCTATGGTGATGACATCTTAAACTGCTCATAAAATGTTATGTCAGCAAACTAAAATGCATGGTGGTACATGAGAGGCTTGGAATACCGCCACTTTGTAATCCCAATTCTCTTAAGTTTCTCTCATGTTTTCACAAGTTTTTGAGACAACAATTGAGAAAAATATTAACTCGTGCATGTAATGGTTATCGTGTCATTTAGGCCCCATTTGGCGGCTAAGATTGGAAATGATTGGAACTGGGTTCATTTCAGTATTACAAATTTTCTCACCATTAGAAGGGAATGCTTAGGAGAGAAACAATGAAGACGGCCAGTAACGAAACGGATTAATTGTCCTCCTCTCTTCTCTATTCTTGTCTTCCTGCTACTCGTTCGCGCGAGCACATGCTTTTTCACTCTCCAATATCCAAATCAATGTCAACGACATGTTGTCAATTGTGTTAAAAAGATAAACTTTGAAAAACAAAAACCGCCGCTGCCGGGGATCGAACCTAGGTCACCCGCGTGACAGGCGGGAATACTTACCACTTTACTACAACAACATTGCTGGCAAAATTTGCATGTCCTTTAGTTCTGGTGGTGAAGTTGTGAAAGTTAAACCTTTCCCTTCCCCTCCTCTTTCACCATCACAAAACCCATTTTCCTCTCCTTGTCACCATAACAAAGCCCATTCCCTTTTCCACTTCCCCTCCTCTGTCTTGTCTTCTTCATTAGCCTTCTCTTCACCAACACCAACATTCGTACATTCAGTGACTCGGAATTCAAATCAGCAGCCTCCGCCTCCTCGGGGACCACTCGATCATTTTCAATCTCAATTTCAGAAACCGCATTGCTGCCACTGCTAACGGTAATTTCATCTTCAAGTTCAGAATTCGAATTATTATCACCGCCACCATTCTCCGGAAGAACCTCAATTTCTTCATTACTGGCATGCTAATGCTAATTTCATTTTTGGGTTCAGAATTCAAATGATCGCCACCGGGGTTATCCGGAAGAACCTTAATTTCTTCACTAATTTCAGATTCGACCATGGTCGATTGGACTCATTGCCGTTCGACAAAATGCCTAGCTCAAAACTCGTCCCTCTCAATTCGTACGTGCTCTTACATATCAATCCCCCGACTTTAAGCCCTCTCTCGAAGCACTCCAAGCACTTAACAAACTCCTGATCAGACCCAAGACTAGCCAACACGTTCTCTCTCTCTCTCTCTCTCTCACAATGCGCAGAAGGATCAAGAGCAAATGCGGGAATCAGATACACATACGGTATGTGACATACCTTCTCCGATCACGGAACTTCTTCGCCTTAAACAACGCCGTGATGCGTTTGTAGCTGAAAATCCGAATCTGAGGAGATCACTGTTGACAAGCTAAGTCTTCAGGCCAATACCAGCCCAAATAAAAATGACATGGTTTGCATGCCTACTGGTTCGTACTGCATTGTTGTAAACTGTGTGTCCGCATTGTCACGTCATATAACCATAGGTTACATGCATGTTGAAACGGGCATGGCAAAACAATTAGGGTGTCAATGATTAAGGGCTCGTTTGGATGTGCTTTTAAAATGACTGAAAGCATTTTTAGAGAAAATGTTTTTTGGTTCCAAAAGCACTTAAAGTGCTTTCTGCAAGAAGCACCAGTTATGTGCTTCTCCCAGGAAGCACTTTGTTTATACCATATTTAGGGCCTCGTATTTAGATCTCGTACAAATACTCAGGAGACTTAAATGTAATTATGGGATAAAGGAAGGGGCAAATATGTAATAAGTGAGGAGTCCTTATTCTATAAAAGGACCCCTCACCCTCACAATTGGAGAAGCCGGACTCTCACTCTCAGAGGCCATTTCAGAAGCCTCTCACCCCCTCTCAAAGCTTCCTCACACCCCCTAAGCTCTAAGCTCTCTCTCTCCCTCTTCAACAGAGAAATACAACATAATCAGTGTGGACGTAGCCCAAACCTTGGGGTGAACCACGATAAAATCCTTGTGTTCTTTGTGTTCTTTGTGTTCTTCGTGTTCTTGAGCGTTTGTGCAGATTCACGGTCGGATTTACGTTGTTCCAAGACCACCCCGGTTTTGTGCATCAACATTTGGCGCCGTCTGTGGGAATCGACACGAAAAGCTATGTCGGTTCTTTTTCATTTTTTTCATCAAATCTCACCTCCACCTTGAAACCTGCACAAACCCAAGCAAAAAACCAAAAGTACCATCCTGTGAACATCAACGTATGGTAAACCAATTTTTCACAAACCCTCCAAAAGCTTCTTAATTTCCCCTGATTTTCGATCGCCAAATCAGGCCCAATTCCCTGGATTAGGATTTTTGCGGTTTCCAATCATGTCCTCTGAAGAATTGGGTCTGGTTCGCACCCAGAACGGGCCCAACTCGCCACTCTCCGATGCCACAACCCGGCCCAATCCTCCCTCCTCCTGATGGATGTGATAAAGCAGTCGCAGATCTCGCTTCGAAAAGAAGCGGAGCTGTTGTCGTACGACCCAGACGACACGCCGCTGCCGAATCTGCCTTCCGTCAAAGAAACACTAGCGGAGTTGGATCCATCCCCGCCGTACCTGAGGTGCAAGCATCGCAAAGGGGGGCGGCTGAGGGGCGTTCAGACGCTGACCTGCGTCTTCTGTGGCAGAAAACACTGATGAACCAATGGCCCAGCAGCAGCAGCTAACCAAGTGCAGCACCTGGTCCACCGCTCCCAACCTCAATCTTCCCCGCCAGAACACCCAGTGTTTCACCTTTCCCAATGCCAGGCGCTAAAACCCAAATTAGAAGACCAAGAGTCTGAATTGGCGGATGCGAGGGTTTGGGAATCATGCGAGGGCCGACAGGCCAAGGTGGCGGAGAATACGGTGGTCGAAAAGCCGAAACTGCAGCCCTTTCAGGTATCTCAGGGTCATCCGAGTCCGCTCGGTGCCACGGCGCGTGATGGCGGGATTAACTTCGCCTTCTATTCCGGCAATGCGTTTTCCGTCACTCTCTGATCACTCTCTCCGATTTAGAGGGGGGTAAAGTTACTGAGCAGATCCTTCTTGATCCTTTGACCAACAAGACCGGAAATGTGTGGCATGTATTTCTCAAGGGAGATTTCAAAGATATCCTTTACGGATACAAATTTGATGGAAAATTTTCGCCTGATGAGGGACACTACTATGACTCTTCTAGAATTGCATTGGATCCTTATGCAAAGGCAGTTATTCGTAGAGGAGAATTCCGCAAGCTAGGTCCTGATGGTAATTGCTGGCCTCAAATGGCTGGAACGGTACTTTCTTTTGACGATCAGAAAAAACAGCGGCAAGCTCATAAGGAGGCTCAGGCTGCCGGAGAACGCGAAGATTGATCAGGTGAAGGCAGCAATGGAGAATGGGGTGTTGACTGTGACTGTGTGTAAAGAGAAAAAAAAGAAGAAAGACAAGTCGATGCCCCCGCCATCTGCAATCTGCAAAGTAAAGAGAACTTTACTTTACTTTTGTCTGCCATCTGCAAAGTAAAGCAAAGGCTAATGCACATGGACCTCAACAACAGAATAATAAATGCAGCAAAAGAACGGTGCGGTGGAAAGAGCAAAGCAGAAAGCATGGCTACCCTTTCAACATGAGATTTGCGGTGGAAAAGAGCAAAGCAGAAAATATGGCTACCCACTGAAATAATTACAAAAGAGAAAAGAAGACAGAAACAAAAGCAAAAGTAAAGCAGAAAAGAAAAAGAGAAAAGAAGAAGAGAGTGCAGCAGAAAAACACTGCAAAAAACAAGTAATAAACACCCCACCCGAATGATGTAATTTATTTTTATTATCTTTCGGAGATATCTGTATAAACCCCATCAGAGGGTAATATATATAAACCCCATCAGAGGGTCAAAAAAAAATAAAAATAAAAAAATAAAAAAATAAAAAAATAAAAAAAAAAGGAAAAGCCCAAAACAAATGGGCTGACATGTTGTGGAGGGCAAAGGCCCATAGGCTTGAAATAGCACCAACCAGGTCATCACAAGTACGCCTAGTACTCCAAATCATTCATGAGCATCACTCATGACAATCATACATAAACATTCATGACCTTCATTCATGTCAACATTCATGAGCATCACTCATGTTAACATTCATGAGCATCACTCATGACAACATCCATGAGCATCACTCATGTCAATCAATATAAACATTCATGAGCATCACTCATGTCAATCAGCTTCAAAAGCTTCATTTACAGAGCTCTAGATTCAAAAGCTTCATTTACAAAAGCTCCAGCTTCGAAAGCTTCATTTACAGAGCTCTAGCTTCAAAGCTTCACTTGCA